CATGTCTTCCAAAGTCCTTGGAACTGATTGTTAATTTTTTTTTGATGCAGTACTGCCTAAAATCGCTCCCTTTACGGCTGGTGATGAAGCGCACCAACAAGGAGATTACTTAACAATAACTTGCACGTTCACACATGGTGATCTTCCTATCAATATAACTTGGTCCCATGATGGTCAGGTTCTACCAACATCGGGAGACCCTGATAGTGGTATTACTTTAATCACCACAAAAAGAAGTAGTGTGCTTAGTATTGATTCCATAGCTGGTGAACATGCTGGAAATTACACGTGCACCGGGACGAATCGGGCAGGATCTGATAGCTTAGCAACGAGTCTTTTTGTGAATGGTTAAAAACTTAAATCTTTCATTGCACATTTTACTAACTTTTTTATAGTTTGCTAATTATTTTATCCACTTCTTTTTCCAAAATACCTGAATTTATTTGCTCATCTTGATCATATTCATTAGTTCCTCCGAAGATCACGCCGTTTTCCGCTGGTGAAGATGCTTTACAACAGGGCGATTACTTTACAATGACTTGTGCATTTATTCATGGCGATTTGCCGATAGATATTCATTGGTTACATAATGGAAGACTAATATCGACTTCAAGCGATATTGATAATGGTTTAACTTTAATGAATACGAAGAGAAGCAGTGTGTTGAATATTGATTCTATATCGGGCGAACATGCTGGAAATTACACATGCTCAGGAACAAATCGAGCCGGAGTAGATAGCCTAACTACGAGTCTTTTTGTTAACGGTTAATTTATGACTTTTTAAGTTTCTGCTACACTTTTTCCTATTATTTATATTTTGCTAGTAGAGTTATATTTTAACTTATATCAACAAACCCGTTTTAATAAAACATCATTTCTTACCTCAATCCTGTTTATTAGTACCTCCAAAGATCACACCGTTTTCCGCTGGTGAAGATGCTTTACAACAAGGTGACTTTTTCACAATGACCTGCGCGTTCATCCATGGAGATTTACCCATAGAAATTTTCTGGTCACATAATGGTAGAACAATATCTACTTCAGAGGACTTTGATAATGGATTGACTGTAGTTAATATGAAAAGAAGTAGTGTACTGAATATTGACTCCATAGCTGGAGAACATGCTGGGAATTACACGTGTTTTGGGAAGAATAGTGCCGGAACTGATAGTCTTGCCACTCAGCTTTTCGTAAATGGTTGATAAAATTATTCTAATGCTGTTTAAAATTTTATTTTTAAATGTTTTTCAATTGCCTCCACAAATATCGTTCCTTACACAGGTGCTCCTTACCATAAAATATAAATTTAATTGTAAATTTGTGGTTAATTTTTTTTATGTTTATGGCATAAACAGTCGAGCGAAACTCGTTTTCAACGTTTGGTTTTTTGACATAATATATTCAGAGCTAGTTAAAAGGAATACTAAAATATTTAGAATAATACTAAACGTTCTGGATCGAGCAATCTTTGTTAGTATGTTTTTAGGTTATTAATTTATATCATTTCTGTAAAAATTCTGCAGCACAAATAATTTATTTCTATCATCAATATTTTCTAGTTCCGCCAAAAATAGCACCATTTTCCGCGGGAAACGAACCGCTTCAACAAGGCGATTATTTTACCATGACGTGTGCTTTTATACATGGCGATCTTCCAATAGAAATTTCTTGGTCTCATAATGGTAGAATTTCATCTGCATTGGATGATAATGATAACAGCCTTACGTTAGTCAATAGTAAAAGGAGTAGTGCATTGAGTATTGACTCTATATCTGGTGAACATGCTGGAAATTATACATGTACTGGTGTAAACCGAGCTGGAACAGAAAGTTTATCTACACAACTTTTTGTTAACGGTTAGATATAAAGATGTTTTGAAATGCTATGTTATTTTACCAGAATCTTAATCCTTCTTTCCATCGATTTGGAGACAAACACGATCAGGCAGTTTTATGTCACAGAGTAATTCTTTATTTACCTTAGATGACTAAATTTTCCGTTATCATTGATATTTTCCAGTACCACCAAAAATTGCTCCATTTTCCGCTGGCGATGATCCTCATCAACAAGGCGATTACTTCTCAATGATTTGCGCCATAACACACGGCGATATACCTATCGAAATTACTTGGTCCCACAATGGTAAAATTTTGCCAAAAGTAGGAGATTCAGATAGTGGATTGACCTTAGTGAATACTAAAAAAAGTAGCGTCCTGAGCATAGATTCTATATCTGGTGAACATGCTGGAAATTACACTTGTACTGGGACAAATCGTGCTGGAACAGATAGTTTAACCACGGAACTTCTAGTTAACGGTTGAGTGGAAAAGTTTTTAACTATTTTACTATAATAATAGTACGTGAAAGATATACTTTAGTGATTGGTTTTCCTTTGACACATGATCCTTCTTCAAATCATCCTTGTAATGATCATTACATTTTTGTTTACTTTTTATTTTATATTTTATTTTTTTATTTTTACTTCTTTTAAATTAATTTCATTATACCTCAGTAAGTGGAAACTAGTTATAATCATATAATATTATTTAACTAGTTATATAGTAATATATCTACTTGATATGTAAAATATTATTTCATAAACAGCCGAAGAAGTCCACGAAATATTATACATATATTATACAACTTCAATTTCGGTACGAATGTTGGCGTTAAAATGGCATATATTGTAGATGGAATTTGCAAATATCATGAGCATAGCACAATTTACATAACATTAGACCTTTTTGTTTGGTAGAACTTTTGAAGGCGAAATGTTTCCTCCCAGTTCGTGCCTGTATTTGTTTTTGTCTCTTAATAGTCCTCACCATTGCCTTCATATGCGATACAGTTTTCTGGATATAAATTGTGCATTTTCTGCTTGTCTTGTATTTTTTCCTATGGCATGAATATTTTGTAGGATTTCCATTTTTTACCATTTTGGTATTGGTAGTTTAAACAAATGACCTGACCAAAAATTCAAAAACTTGTAGGAGAAAAAATACAGCTTCAGAGAAACACTGTTGCGATATAAACAATGTAAGATACGTAATACGGATATCTAGGACAAATCGGAGTATATTCGTATATATTTCTAAATAGTACATATCCTTGCATATCCTTTTTCCTCACCCTTCACAAAAATGTACTATATCAGGTTAGGATTAATAGAGTGAAAATTATACCTGTGCTCCAAAATCCTTTATCCTTCATACTCAATTCTTTAAAAACTTTGAATGCTTTATAATTTTATTATTATTTGCTTAGTTTAATAAATAATATTTTTATTTTGGTAATCCCATTCATTTTAATAGTATGTTAATTAATTTTAATATTATAATATCATGTGTATCTAAAATGTGCAAATAATTTTAATAGTCTTATGAAAATATCATTTATATAGTATAACAATTACACAATAGGTATATAAATATATTGAAGTAAATAAGTATTTGTGCATTTTAGTATCACATATAAAACTATCAAGAACGAGTGTGTAGATATGATTATCATAAATTAGTAATATTGATCATCATTTTTTTTATAATTTTTTTTATAAGAAATCATTTATTTAAAGCCTCGTGAAATTTTTGCATAATTTATATTTTTTACATAATTTGTCTAAAATCTGCACACTTGTTTCAGCGTTTCCTTAAAAATTATTGCACTAATTATTATTCTCATCAGCCAGAAATTTTTTGGTAAACAATTTGCAAATATTCTGGTTTCATCTGACTAAATTATTTTGTTTAATATAATATTCAGAAAAAATGCAAAAGATAACTTTCTTTTGGATATGGATAAATTATGACTTTTTCTATACCTAATGTGATTCATTCATATTTATAGATATAATATTCCGCTAATTGTATCAAATTTAATTCAATTCATAGCTTTACAATTTCGAGAAAATAATAAAAAAAACTTACATAATTTGAAGAAGTGCAACAATTTTTAAAGTAAAATGCTATATCAAATCATTATTTTATGTAAACGAGTACTGAAAATTAAAATATCTATCTATAACATTTTTTTATTAATTACTATAAAATAATGATTTGATATCTAATTTAATCTGTTTGTATAGTTGAGAATATTTTTCATGTTTCAATTCAATTTATTTATTCAACTTTTCATATTGATTATTTGTGGAATGGAGAATAAAATAATATTTTTCAATCATTTTCATATGAACTAATTTTATTTGAACATGAATTTTCAATTATACTAATAGATAGTACAGCAATGTTTTGATTTTTTTTATTACAGACAATATTAAAAAATCGGAATCTAATTCAACTTGAAGTTCTTATCAACATATTGCTGACATTTTTGCATGATCTATACAAAAAGAGCGAATATGTAAATTACTTGATTACACAAAAAATTGACAAATATTGATAAGTATAATATTTGGTTTAATATTTATTATGACAATGATCTGATGATATTCATATAACCCCATTAAAATATGTTTTATTCATTTTTATAACTTGAATTCTTCGGTTATTCAAAAATTAGTATCGAATTAATTAGAATCTTCATATCTTTTTAGCTTTCATATTCGCTCTAATATGAAAAAGTAGAAATATTTTAAAATCTTAATAATAATGCAAAAGTACATAAATTTTTGTTCTAATGAAATACTAATAAATGAAGCTTCTAAAAACGTGGCCAAATTAAATTAATTATTTAATAAATATCAATATGATTTTGGTAAAAATTAAATGATTTTGAGAAAATAATTAACATGATTCGATTAATAAAATATTTGGATAATTTGCATCACTTATACACGACGTATTTAAATAATTTTTTGAACTAACTTATACCGGCACATATTTTTGTTATATATAGAGATTTTGATATTTTTGGTCAATCATCACGAAAATCGTTAATTATATAAACATTATTTTTATCTTCGTCTTTTGCATTATTATTAAATGCATGCTATTTAAATTTGTAAAAATATAAAAATTCTAATAAAACCTGAAATTTCAGTACCTCCGAGATGGGTCTTAGAACCTACAGATAAAGCATTTGCTCAAGGAAGCGATGCTAAAGTTGAATGTAAAGCCGATGGCTTTCCTAAACCACAAGTTACATGGAAGAAATCGACTGGTAACTATAATATAATTTGAAAAAATTTCAAAACTAGTTCAATCATTATGTTCACTGACCCATATTTATATTTTAAGGTAATACACCAGGAGAATATAAGGATTTGAAAATGAACGATAACGATATTAAGGTAGAAGATGGAACATTGACAATCGCTAACATTCAAAAAACAAGCGAAGGATATTACTTGTGCGAAGCTGTTAATGGTATTGGATCTGGATTGTCGGCAGTTATATTAATTAGTGTTCAAGGTACTTTTTTCTTCCATACATTTAAATGATATATCATTAGCGTATTTGTAATTACTACTTGCATGACGTAATGCAAACAGATATCAACTCACAGACTGAAAGCAAAGTTGTTTTCCCAAACTTCAGGCTTTGTGGAAAGTATTTCTATAAAATTTTAATGTATACTTTTAGGCAATATGCCAACACGCACTAAAACTTTTTTTTTAATTTTATTTTTTTTACCTTCTAGCTCCTCCTCAATTTGAAATTAAACTCCGCAACCAGACCGCTAGACGTGGCGAACCTACTGTACTTCAGTGCGAAGCCAGAGGCGAGAAACCTATTGGAATTTTATGGAACATGAACAATAAACGTTTGGACCCCAAATCAGATAATCGGTACACGATTCGTGAAGAAATTTTACCTGGCGGAGTTTTAAGTGACTTGTCTATTAAACGTACTGAAAGAGCCGATAGTGCCTTGTTTACTTGTGTGGCGACCAATGCTTTTGGAAGTGATGATACGAGCCTCAACATGATTGTTCAAGGTAAAAATTTAGAATTATTTAATCAAAAGAAAATTTTAATTTATCCGTGTGTCATAAATATTTTTCAGAAATGCCTGAAGTACCATATGGACTTAAAGTTCTCGACAAATCCGGCCGATCCGTTCAGTTATCTTGGGCAGCACCTTATGATGGAAACTCACCAATAATTAGGTTCATGATTGAATATAAAATTGCTAAAGGAAATTGGGAAAATGATATTGACAGAGTTTTGGTACCTGGATCACAGAGCGAAGCCGGCGTTTTCAATCTCAGACCTGCAACTACTTATCACTTAAGAATTGTAGCTGAGAACGAAATTGGAACTTCTGACCCATCAGATACTGTGACTATCATCACTGCCGAAGAAGGTTTGTATGAAATTTTTTATTGACAGGTATTTTTAAGACGCAAGTTAATGTGATTTTTCATTTCAGCACCGTCTGGAGCTCCTACTTCAATCAAAGTGGAACCATCTGATCAAAATACTTTGAAGGTGACATGGAAACCACCAAATCGCGAAGACTGGAACGGAGATATTTTAGGTTATTATGTTGGATATAAGGTTACTGCTCATTCTGATAAACCCTACTTGTATGAAACTGTTGAGTTCAGCCAAGAAGAAGGAAAAGAACATCATTTATTAATTCAAGGATTGAAGTAAGTTATAGTAATTAATTTAATTTTTGATCAAAGAATTTGTGAACTGACTCGACAATCATTTTTTTATTTTATCCTTTCAGAACGTACACGCAATATAGTGTAGTAGTACAAGCATTTAACAAAATTAACGTTGGACCAACGAGTGAAATAATTCTTCAATACACTGCCGAAGGAACACCTACCCAACCTCCTAGTGATGTTACATGTACAACTTTGACTTCTCAGACAATCAGAGTGTCTTGGGTCAGCCCACCTTTGGCTACTGCTAACGGTGTTATCAAAGGGTATAAAGTCATTTATGGACCAAGTGATTTGTGGTATGGTAAGTATTACGCACTTGCATTTATACATTTGTGACAGACTTCATCACAGTTCATGAGTTTTATTTATAAACTTTAGACGAGAAAACCAAAGATACGAAAATAACTGCTTCAAGTGAAACAATATTACATGGACTCAAGAAATACGCAAATTATAGCATGCAGGTTCTTTCATTTACTACCGGTGGTGATGGTGTTAGGAGCACGCCGATACATTGCCAAACTGAACAAGATGGTAATATATCAACATAAACGCTTTAACAATTTATATGATGAAATACCAGTTTATTGATAAATTTTTTCTTTAGTCCCGGAAGCCCCGACAGCAGTCAAAGCCCTTGTCATGTCAGGAGAGTCAATTTTGGTTTCGTGGAAACCTCCCTCCAGACCAAATGGAATGATAACTCAATACACTGTATACGTTCGCGAAGATGGCGGTTCAGGAGGTTCTGGAACGGCTCTTCCTAAAAGTCAGAAGGTCCCAGCTTATCAAATGAGTTATGAAGCATCAGGATTGAAAAAGAAAGATAGGTAAATAAGTTATTCAAAATTGAATTCCAAAAATTCTCTTAATAATTAGGTTTTCAATATAAACATTTTTATGTATTTCAGGTATGAATTTTGGGTTACTGCCAGTACCAATATTGGAGAAGGACAACCTAGCAAAAGTGCAACATTAAGTCCAAGCAATAGAGGTTAGTAAGCAGCTTTTGTGATGAGATTTATTATATATATTAATTTGAACTTTTTATTCAATTAGTTCCTGCAAAGATTGCATCATTCGATGATACATTTACGGCTACATACAGAGAAGACGTGAAACTGCCCTGCGTTGCTGTTGGTGTTCCTCAACCAGAAATTGTTTGGAAGGCAAGAATCAAAAACAAATCAATTAATAAGTATTGAATCTTGAACTTGTTTTCTATATTGTTTATTAAACTTTAGGTTAAAGGATCAGTGTTTGCGCCTACTGATAGAATTAGACAATTACCTGAAGGTTCACTAATGATTAAAGAGGCTACACGCCAAGATGCTGGTGAATATTCTTGTCACGTCGAAAACTCATTTGGAAAAGATGCTGTTACCCATCAATTGATTGTTTTGTGTAAGTTGTATCTTAATAAAATCATGTTAAAGGTAAAATTTTTGGATTCCAAATTTAATTTTTATTTTTTCAGCACCACCCCATTCCCCGATTTTAACACTTACCTCGACAACTGTTAATTCTTTGACGATGAAACTGAAAGCTCACCCACAAGATGCTGTTTTACATGGTTACACCGTACATTACAAACCTGAATTTGGAGAATGGGATACTGTTCAAGTTGCCAGTGACGCCACGAAATACACACTGGAGGGACTTTATTGTGGAAGTAGATATCAAGTTTACGCTACTGCTTATAATAGGCAAGTTGATAACTGAAATAGTTTTCAAATTACAGATGTTTAGTATTACTCTGTATCAAGTTATAATTAAGTTTAAGAATAAGTACTTATTATGTTTAATAAACTTTTAATTTTTTTATAGCATTGGAACGGGAGATGCAAGTGATGTTCTGAATATTCGCACCAAAGGATCCAAACCTGTATTGCCAGAAGCTTCAAGATTCCTCCAAGTTTCATCTACTAGCGTAACATTGAATCTAAGTGCCTGGTCAGATGGAGGATGCGCTATGAGTCATTACGTTGTAGAAAATAAGAAAAAGTGAGTTCTGTTAGATCTATTGGATTATTTTATCATCTTTCCATGTTTTAATCATTAAGCATTATGAAAATTTGAACAATATTTTAATCATACTCAGTTTCCTTACCTTATTTGCATATAAACATTTAACACGTTGAGTGCTCGATTTTATAGCGACCATCCGTTCATTTCGAATTTCATTAGTTTGAAAGTACTGCAAACAGATTTTTTGCTAAAAATAGTACGAAATTTGACTAAACAGATCATAACATTTAGTGTACTCGCGAGGAACATCCATTTTTATAATTAGGGTATTTCAATTAACTTCATAATTTTTTGTAAAAATGTTCGATTTTTACTTTATTTCATACTGACAGTCACCCGTGATCGATGGGGTCAAACGGAAAGGTGGCAAACAAGCTGTTGACATCGAAATTCAATGGCTTTCTTCTTCATCCTAAATTTTCTACTTTTTTAGCAAATATGAAAAACGTAAAAGTTTACTCAAATTGAAAGAATTCAAAACTCAGAAAACCTTTAATAAATTCCTCAGGTCACATCCTCATGTCTTTTTTATTATTGTTAACCGTCATTATTTAAGATATTTAACATAACAAATACTAAATATTACCATTTTTTTCAGAGCTCAGGCAGAATGGACGCAAATTTCAAATAATGTGAAACCAGGAAGCAAAAACTTTGTTGTGTTAGATTTAGAGCCTGCACAATGGTATCACTTACGTGTTACTGCTCATAATAATGCTGGTTTCACCGTAGCTGAATATGAATTTGCAACATTGACAATAACTGGAGGTGAGAATTAGTAATTTTCTTTTTCATCATTTATAATTTATTCTTAAAGATGATTTTATAGTTTACTTTGAATCTACTGATGTTTTGTTTTCACCAAGAACTGAAATGACCGATTATCAATAACTTAAATTTGAAATTGATTATATTATATAATGTACTTTTTTAGAATGTTTATATTAATTAATGTATTTGTGTAATGTTATGTGGTTTTGATTACTATGTGCCAAATATTCAAGTTAGCCAATGCTTGTAACGATGCTGACCATTTTTTCGTTTAGCATTGTTTCTTTTTTATTTAATACATGACCTTACAACTAAAATGGTATTAATCACAATTATAAACTGGTGTTGTCGGCTTTTTATCGAATATACTTTTCATTCTAGAAATAAAACTAGGTAATAAAGCAGTAAATAGTCATTGCTTAATTATCTAAAACTTGCACCAATGATTGAAGTTGAAACGGTCATTGCATTCGTATTGGTAGATTTGGTGTTAATTTGTAAACTGATATTAATAAATTATTTATTTTGCCGCAAAATATCTCTAAATAAATTACGTTTAAAAAATATTATTTTTTATGTTTGTCATATAAAAAATGCGTACCTAAAACATCCAACAATTTTTTCATTTACATATTTAATTATCCTAATACAATTTAATTTAATACTTTTTCTAATAGCACTAGTTCCAATAACCAAAACTGACTGAATTTTTGTTGGATGTTTCAGGTACTGTCGAACCTGCCCATGATATGCCCAAATTGACCGCGGAAGAAACACTTCGTGTCATACTCAGCAATCTAAACCTTATTGTTCCTGTAATTGCGGCAGTTTTTGTCATAATAATTGCTGTCATTGTCATTTGCGTTGTCAAAGGAAAGAACGACGGACGTCATAAAGGTAATTAATTTCAATATTATATTGTTTTCAGCTACTATTGCACCTGTACAAATTCTACCGGCTGGTGGTAAGAATGCCCATTTTCCGTTGCCCGGTTGGTTCGACCTGGATGTTCTGGTGCCATTGGCAGCCACTGTTGTGGTTCTGGTGGTTGGATGTCTACTGATTGCTGTTTTGTTGTCCAGGAGATGTCGCTCAGGCCGTGGGGCCAGAGGTTCGAAGGAACCAGACTGTATGTTCATTCATTTCATACTTTTTATTTGGGGAAGGAAAAATCTACCTATTATGCTTATTATTTTGTCTATGTGCAAACTAATTGCTAATTCAGTATTCATATGTCATACATCATTTTTATTTTGAATACTAAATTATTAATAAATTACTAATAGTAACTTCTAAATATTCGATTTCTATAATGACTATTAATTTCCAGACGATGTGGCTTATGACCAAACTATGAACGCTGGAAATACGATGGACAAACGAAGAGCTGGTGACCTCAGGGACGAACTTGGTTACATAGCACCTCCAAATAGAAAATTACCTCCAGTACCAGGAACCAACTACAATACTTGTGATAGGATAAAACGCGGAACGGTCATCAGTAAGTCACGGAGTTTGATCAGGCCGCGTGGCCTCTGAGTTATTTTTAATTTTCATATGATCGTTAAAGAAAATTATTTTTAATTAATAGGTTAATTTGATGAAATATTTTGAAGTAATTAATAATGTTGATTAGTCGATCATTTTGAAGATTAAAAATATTCTTAGAGCGAGCGCGGCCGTAGCTAACACAAAGGTCGGGAGCTTAGTAGACAGATCGCGATTTAATTTCAATATTGATGAATATCTTATCATGAAGATATTTTTTATTTATATTTCTACACTTATAGTGAAATAATTAGTACACAGGAAAACGCTAATTTTGTACACGTGCTGACACATATACGCTTATTAATATATACTAAACATTTTCATAATTAGATTTATATGAAGTGCTAAATTAGATAGCGTAGGTAAACATTGTTACATGGAAATTGGTCTCTGGAACTTGACGAAGTTTCTATATATTTTATCTGAATATATTGGAGAATTAGATACTTCCATAGTATAGCCAACGCCCTTTAGGAAATATTTAGTATCAGCTATAAATTATACATATGCAAAATTTCGATGAAACCTAACTATTCAGCTCAGCATTCTAGTAAGTACATAATTTTATTTTATTTTACTTTGTATTATATATACTATCCTGTCGCTTATATCGTACCAATAAGTATAAAAGTACACTAAACTTATATTTATCAAAGTATTTATGTAGTACCATCCAACACATCCGATATCACTGAATTCGAAACAATTGGTATCAATTAATAAAATTTACAATTAAATTCCATACATATTATTATTTTCCAAATTTTATTTACCGAAATAAATGATTAGAAATTCAGTGTCTACCCTTCCGGCCTTTGTATCAGCTGTTCGGTGTCGGATTCTCCTCTAAATTTGAAAAAAGAAATCATAAAATTTTATCATATCACTCATAGTAGTGCCCTTTCTGAACAAACACATTTCCTGTGAAAAATTTAGACTCCTTATTAGAAATTCACAATTTACAAAATATGCAATCATTTTCAGCACATGTGCAAACAAATCTTTATATACACAACGCACAAAAGAGAATCTGGCAGGGATAGCAAACATTAAATAATGGTGATATTTTTCAAATAGATCTACAAAAATTCATAAAATCATATTCACCTTTGCTGATATTGTTTTTGTCTTTGTACAGCTCTCAGTGACGAATTCATCATTGGCAAAATTCTACTACCAAGATTGAAATTCTTGTCAAATATGAATTAGTCTTGAATTAAACATGATAAAAGGGCTTTAAATTAATCATTGTCATTTCAATTTATTATGGAAAATATGACCATTACCTATGGCTTGACACTTTTAGCTTGTATTGGCGGAACAAAGCTATTACTGTCAGAGTTCATATTCTAGTTTGCTAAGTAGCGGCATGTTTGTTTTTTTCCAATTTAAATCTACGTGTTCCAATTTTCAAAATCTTGATAATAGTATGACTTTTTGATTAGATTTTTTGTTAGATTTGCATTTATGCTCACAGAATGTTTTGATAACATTTGGATTGGCTTTTACCGCTTTCAAACTCCTTGTGTTTAATGTACCCTGTTATAAAAGTCACTTTAATTTGATTAATATTAAAACTATTTTTAGTATTTTTTTATCATTCTTATAATTGATGTTATCTTAAGATTCTGTTACCTTAGAATAATTTTATTTCAATATAATTTTAAAGATTTATTTTTATTCTGATCATAATCTCATAATCCATTCATTGATTTAACATTAACTTACCTTTCAATTTAATTTTATTTATTAAAGCATCTTGAATTTATGAAATATTTACAATATTCGTCATTTGATAAATAAATAATAATAATAAATATATTATGAATATTGAAATTTTTGTTTATCAAATCATATTAGATATTTCTGATTGAGATTTATTTAAAATTCTGTTGATTCCTTGATAGTACACATATTGAAAATATTTCATTTTAAGTTGCTTTATTTATAATTATGGTTAATGTTGTTTTTGTCAATGGCATGTTTTATGTTTACCTTAAATGTCGCACAAAATAGACAATGGCAACAGCATGAGGTCAATACATAGCACTTGGGACCCCAGAAGAAATCTGTATGAAGAATTAAGTCATCAACGTAGACATCCACATGTTGTTGAACAAAGGGTAGCCTGCAGACAAGGTACGTTTTTAAAATGAGATATTAAAAATAATTAACGACAATAGCTTCGGTTTTTAATGTGGTCATATTCATTTACTGCATCCACCAAAGTCCATTTTTATTTAGGAAGACTATTAGTTGTATAAACTGCCGAAAACTTTATACAAATTTACTAATGATAATGATTTACACTCATATTAAATATTCATTTTTCGGTATGTGATTAGGAATAATTGGTACTTCGGTAAGATTAATCCGAACAGAATTAGGACAACCAGGGTCATAAATTGGTGATGATCAAATTTTTAATGTTATTGTTATAGATCATGTCTTTTATTTTAATTAACTTCCCGAAGGAGATGTTTATGTTTTTTATTAAAATTTTTTAAGAACTAAATTTTATAACTATTTTGCGTAAATTGTAATACAATGGTATTTGTAAAAGTTTTGAATTTTTGTACATATATGAAAGATCATCAGTAATTTTTTTGGTGAAATTGGAGCACATGGTTCAGAAACCAATATTGTAGTATTGGTAGATACAAATATGTCTTTATACAAACAGTTTTAGCATCAACTTTTATATATTTATATATTACATTATATATTCAAATTCACCTCATAATATAATCTATTTATCAAATTTGTTGTCATTGTTATGTATCATGATAAAATCCTCATTATAAAAAAATCATGGAATTATAGTTATATGTTATATACTATGGATAAAATATGCCTTTAGAATTTAATTAACAAATATTACTTAGCGAGCCTAACTGCAAACTATTGGGTATGATGAAATCAAAATAATTTAAACACAAATAGATATTTTTAATTTTAGATCAATAAATCAGCACCCTGTGAGTTTAGATGTTAGCTGATTCTGTTTAGAAAATTGTAGTGTCGCACGATTTTTTTCCAGGTTCAATATTAGGAAAAATTTCTTTCTCTTTTTTTTTTATTTTGCAGTTTGTGCAAATTTTAAATTGAATAGAAAATAGATATGGTTTTGCTTAAGATGATTTATATTGCTATTTATATATATATATATATATATATAAATCAGAGAAAAATGTAAAATAAGTAACGTTAAATTACTTATCACTTACTTTTTATCCAAAATCTGGTTCTACTTAGCTGTTCATAATATCATGATTCTCTTGAATGAAAACTGTTACAACTTTTTAATATGTAAATTAAAAGCTCAATTTATGAACATGGAATTAGATAAAAGATTTCTTTGCCAATATGTAAATGTTTGGAAAATACTTCAAAAATGAGTCTTGGAGCATAAGAACTCCTTGATGATACAATATTTACTAACAAATATTTACAATTTAATAGAAATTTGATTATCCGAACATATGCTATAAAAGACAATATTGTATCTTAGGAGGCGTCCATAAATCACGTGAGCCAGTTTTTAAGGATTTTTGGACCCCTCCTCCCCCTTGGTGAAACATGGTGATATTGAAAATTAGACCCCCTCCCTCACCCTCCCCTCACGTCAATTTTTAGTTACACCATAAAACTGTAAAATTCTTGAATTAAAAAAAACATTAAAAAAAAAAATACACGTGATACCACTCCCCCTATAAACCTGACGTGATTAATGGACGCCCCCTTATATGCTGCAAGTGAAAAACAGATATTCTTATTAATTATCTGTCACAATATCTGCTTTTTGGAACATCAAAAACATACAAACAGAAGAGTACATTTTGATAAAGCTGGAGTACAGAAGTCGTATTTTAAGAATTCGAAATTCCAGACAGGATAGCAAATTTGCGATGTTTCAAGCATATTTTTTTCCATTTTCAAATAAATTTTCCTTGTATCAGTTTTCACAAATTTTCATTTCTAGCGTGTATGTGTGCATGTGAATGTGCATGCCGCCACAAATTGGCGAGCTTTTTGAATTCCTTTCAATTAACACTGAACGCAGACGATATATCCATCATTTCAGGCGTTGAGGATGAGATTTGCCCGTATGCGACATTCCACCTTCTAGGTTTCAGGGAAGAGATGGATCCAGGAAAAGCTTTGAATTTCCAGACATTCCCACATCAGAATGGACATACACCGGTGCACCAGGAAGGAAATAGACCACAACATGCTCATTCGCGTGCTGGTAGCCAATCTATGGTAAAAACCTTTTTCTTTGTAATTAAGTAATAATAGTTTAATCAATATCGCCTAAAATCAATCAAAGAAATAAATGATGATTGAATCAAATATGGCTATCTAAACGTCTGCCTATTTAAAAGCTCTTTCAAATTTTTATATATCAGAGTATGTGTGACACTGCCTTCCTTTTGAATATGCAATTGGGTTGAAAGCACCTAAATGTTGGTATTTTTTTTTTATCCCAAATTTTCACGAAATTCAACTCAACTACTTATATTCACAAAGGTGCCAGATATAGTTCATCAAATTCATAATATTGTACATATTTTAAATGGCAGAATGCATAAGTATTCAATTATATTCTGCAAAGGTATATGCTTAGTTTTGTCAATTTACCGATTTTTAATAATTTAAATTTTACGTTTTAAAGCCTCGCCAAAATAACCGTTATGCCCGCAAAAACTCACAAGGAGGAAACAGCAACATCTACACACCAGGACCAGATTATGATGACCCTGCAAATTGTGCTGAAGAAGATCAATACGTTAGTATAACAGTGTTAATAATATATAGATTAATTAGTGCGTATACATTCCTAACAAAAACTATTGTATCTTCAGATTTTAATATTTAATTTTTATTTATTTGGGAAAATTGCTCTTTATGCTAACCATTTATCAACTATGTACCGTTTGTGCGCATCGGGGAATATTTGTACAATGGGAAAATGGGAGGGGTGGACAACCCTTGATAAAAATAAATTGTTTTAATTTTAGATAAAATTAATGCTTTGTCATAAGGTCAGAAAATGTCAATTAAAATTTAGTGAAGAAAACACTCAATGACTGAAAGCGTGGTGAAAAATTATTCGATTACTAAAAAGTCTTTTATGAAATAGAGATTTGTGGAAGGAAGGTGAAAATTTAGAGTTGTGTGTATTTTATAATTCCGCGTTACGAAAATTCAAGTTAAGAGAAAATTGATTCAACAATTTAAAAAAAAGTTATGTGTGGACAAATCTTGATAAAAGTAAATAGTATTTTGAAGTAAAAAGAGTTGTATATATTTTGTCAATTCCGCATAAAAAAATTAAAATTAAAAAAGTTGACCCCAAAATTTAAAAAAAGTATTAGGATTGGGCAACCCTTGATAATCATAAATTGTATTTTATTGTAACTGCTAAGCTTTTTCTTCAAGCTCAAAAATCTGAACTGAAATTTTGTCAAAAATGTTTTAGGACTGAACGTGGGATAAAAAATGATTGAATTATTAAAATGGCTATAGAAATAGGGGTTGGTGATAAAAAAGTAAAAATTTTGGGTTGTATGTATTTTACAATTCCACATTATAAAAAAATAAAAACAAAAAATTCCGTCCAAGAATCACAAAAAAACTTCAAGGGTGAACAACCCTTATCACTTAGGGTTGATAATCACGAAAAATAGATAGTTAATGCTATTCACACTTTCTGAATTATAAATAAAATATAAAATTTGAAAAGAATCAATAAAGCCGTTTCGGAGGAGTACGGGAACGAATTTTATATAAGATATAGGGTGAATGATAATTATTTTGTAAATTTAATTACATCAAATTTCAATGAAACTATTCGATTTTTTTATAAATAGCGAAGCCGTTATACTCGCGTGAATTCTTTGGGAGGCTCATTATATGGAGGTGCTGCCGAATATGATGACCCAGCAAATTGCGCCGAAGAAGACCAGTATGGATCTCAATATCAGCCTTATGGTGCACCATGTGATCATTATGGTTCAAGAAAGAGTATAGGTATATTCAGACGATACTTTGGTTTTAGAAAGTATATAAGTTGGCATACGTTTCATTAAGTTTATCAAATAAATAGATGTGTTAAATTATCATGAATCTGTCATCATTTTGCTTTATCTTTAGTCTCACGAAATCCCAACGCCCAAAATAATGGAGGTGTTACAACTGTTGGAAATGGCAGTCCGGAACCTCCACCACCTCCACCGCCACCAAGGAACCATGATCAACAAGGAAATGGAAGCTTTAACGACTCCAAAGAAAGCAACGAAATATCAGAAGCTGAATGCGATCGTGATCAGTTACCTAGGAATTATGCAGGTGAGTTAATAATTCAATCAGCTAGAATTGGAAGTTAAGCTGTAATAAAAGAGTAAATTTTATTTGACTCACATTACATCAGATTCTTTAAATAATATTATTAAATTGAAAAATTACAAATGTCTTAACTATACAAGCAACTAATATTATTCTAGATTTTTTAACTACATAGATCTAGTTTGGATACCAAACTCCAAAATATTGAATTTAAAATTTTTATTTACTAATTATTGGCATTTTTTATTTTTTAAATTCCTTTTTGGTTTATAAATTTTTGTTTTGTTTTAAAATCCCAAATTTTGTATTGATGTCGTCCTTTTACTAGTATTCTAATATAGTAATTTATAAGCATGCATATTTTATTCTGTGTTGTACATGTCTGTGACTAATTAAGTGCATCCAAGTATAAATTTATCTCATTATAATTATATATTAACGATTCATTGATTTTGTTTTATGTATTGACATCTATAGGAAAGTGAATATTGGAAAATAAATCACTTTTTAATAATAATAATATTTAATATAAGTCGATCCTCGTGGAAAGTGCATAAATATTATGACTACGTACAATGTGCTGAATTAAAGTTTATTGATAGTTATGAATGACGAAATATTGAACGAGAACAGTTTTTTAAATTTTTATTTAAACTAAATTAAAAGAATTTTACTGCTATTTTATACTATAAATATTGCGGGATCATCTTTTCTCATAAATTGTAAGAACTGTTTTAAAAGTTTCTTTCAGTACTAAAAATAGTTTTTATTTCTTAAGGGGCACAGCTAGTGTAACCGCCTAAAAAAAGGTGAATTTTGGGAATTTATATTAAAAAAAATACTTTATCAATCATTTCAAAATTTTAAGAATATATTTACACATGTTTTAAGAATACATAGTAAAATTTTTGAAGAAAAAAATAAAATATTTTTTAAGTTATCGTCGATCTCCAACGGCGCGAAAAAAGCCCTTCACTTCTACGTGTATGAAATTAAAAAAAAAATCTCGTTAAACTAGATAATATTGTCTGTAAAATGACCTCCGATAAAGAGAAAATCAAAAATGGCGGCGTTTTTAAAAAAAAATGGATTTTACTCAAAATTTTGGTCGTTTTTGGACTGCCAAAATTCGATTTTTAATCCGATCAAAAAATCGATAGTTCATTTTACGAAGAACTATATATAGTACATTTGCAAAAAATTCGATAGTGATCGGATCATTTGGTTTTGAGTAATCACTGCAGCAAATTCGGAAAATGCTGTTTCGAGAAAAACGCGTTTAAAGATAAAATGATCGTTATACTATCTACTATATATATACTCTTTAAATGGGTGTGACTCAAAAACTATTTAAGATATCGATTTAAAATTTTGGTATGTTATTTTTAAAGGTATAACCTATCGAAATATGGAAAAATTGAAAATTTGATTATTTGAAAATTTCACACTAGTTGTGCCCCTTAAACTTAAATATCATATTCCACTTGTTTACTTTATTATTTCATTCTAAAAAAGAAATTATAAGAGTAAAAAAACATTTTATACAATTTATTGAGCGTTTTTTCTCAGCAAACGTTAGAAATTTTATTACCGATTAGTTATAAATAAATTTGCCATATATGATAAACAACATATTTGATCGTGATCATAAAATTCTAAAATAGTTCATTAGTTGACGTTTTTATTCATGGATGTTTGCGACTTCTAGCATACAGTAATTTTATAAGTCTAAAATTGGCTTTGGAAATGCTGCAAGTAATAATCATTTTTACGGAAATTAATTTTCTAACCATTTTCTAACCATTAATCTGACTTATCATACCATGGACTGACTTGTTTTTAATTTCATTTTTTATGGATTTAATTTGTCAACAAGTTAATAGCTATTTCACAACCAGTGCAACTAATTCCTCTGGTCATAATAAATAATTTTGGAGATTTTTAATAACTAAAAACGCAGCTAGGTGAAGTTTTGAAATATTTTTATACATATATGTAAACATGTACGTGTTGCAGTACGTGCTCCCCATCATAAAGATCCACGCTCTACCGAAGAAATGAGGAAACTTATTGACAGGTTAGTGTTGTTCTTTTACATAGTAATTTAGATTTTGTAAAAATGACTAAAATTTATGTGACATGAAAAAGAAAGATTATAAGGAAAAATATTGAAGTTTGCATCTTCCTTATATTTGAGAAAATATATTAATTTACGTGAATGATTTTAATAAATATTATTGATTCGCCAAACTAAAAAATGTGTGCTGCCTTTGAACTCATTGTTTTGAATAATCCTATTTATGTATAGAGGAGACTGGGTACGGATGTGCCACTTTTTTGATCTGCCATAATTTTGGTAATTCACCAGCTATCTAGACAAAATGTGAAATGGAAATTTGAACATTTGTCTACATGTAAATATTGAAATACTGTCCTTAAATACGATATATTAGTCATAAAAGCAAATCGTACAAGAAAATGGAGGATGTCACAACCGTCGAATCCTAAGGACGTTTTTTTACCGTTGACTTGAGTAAGAGTCATTTTTTACTATTTAACTCCTGAAAAACTATCGTGACAAGTATTGATATTTTGCAAGAGTCAAATGAATTATTCTAACTTCTATATGAAGACTTTAATTTGTTTAGGAATGTAGGAATATTGTTTGAAAAAAAATTTACAGATGATATCTTTGGCTATGCAAAAATATGAAATAAAGTTCGTACATAAATTAGGTTGGATGTCATTCTTATTGAATTGCATTAAATTCTGGTAAATATAACCATTTTGAGCAAATTTAACTGGTTTGTGTTTCTACCTTTTTTAAACTTGACATTGTATCTGAAAGGTTAATTTGATTATCAATTTATACTTGCTAAAGATTTCAATGTCAAGCTTTATTTGGAAGAATCTCAATCAACGTTTTTTTAAATGATAAAATAAATTTAACGAAGTTTAATTCTCAATTCCTTTCCAAAGAACTTTAAACAGTTTGTCGACTGAAATCATCTCTCACAAATTAGTAATCTCGAACCATTCATATCATATTTGAAGTATGATAGTAATTGTTTAAAAATGTTAGTATAGTGGTTGGCATTATTAAATGTATGCAGTAGTGTTACCATATTACCAAAAAAATTATTTTAAATTTTTAAATGATGAATTGACTTAATTGTTATTTTGTAAAATAACAAAACAGTTTTACGCTCTCTTTTTTTCAATTGAAATTTTCTTTCCCTTTCTCTTTTTTTTGAGTTTTATTTTTTTCTATCTATTTAATCCCCAGCCGAAAAGGTTGAGAAATACATGTCACAACCGTACCCAATGCACACAAATCATCCTTATAACTGAGATAAAATTATCTACGAAAAAACTAGGTGCTGATTATTAACTACAAATGTTCAACTTACAGCAAAATAACAAAGTAATCTATCTGCATCCACGTAACAGTTATTATTAAAAGAAATTAAACAAAGATATATTTTTTTGACTCTTTAAAAGCTACAGATCATGTTAATGTGGGGCGCTCAATGCAATAATGTAAACTTGTTCGAAAAAACATACTTTATCTTTCTCGCTTTGAACCTTATATAAAAAACAGTATAGTTTAGCACTCTGGCACAACCGTACCCAGTCTCCCCTACGACATTGGTTAAAGGGTTGTTTATGAATTTTATTTATTAATAATTTCTTAGTTTGGCGAATTTTTCGACACGTTACTAATAATTTTTATAAGATATAGTGTTTCACTATATATTTTAACTGAAACTCCTTTCATTTTGGATGTGGCAATGATCGGATATAGAAAACAGTAAGTTTGTGTTTAATTGCATGAAAGCTTTATGTTTGTTTTAACTGCACGTAATCGATGTTTAGATAAAGTTTTGCTCCATAATATTTAAGAATTTCATGTTCAATATTCATGGTTTTGTTTAATATAATTCATGATATGATTCCTATAAGAATCATATAAAAATGATTCTTATAAGAAACATATAAATATGTTTTAATGTTTTGTTGTGTCTTAAGCATGATTGTGTCTAACTTCACCAACTCCCAAATCCATTTTCAAATGATTTTACGTTATTTCATTTTGATTTGTTTTTGAACCATAAATATTCATAATTAATTACTATAAAATTTTAGTTAATTTATTTAAAATCACATGGAAAAGGCGACTTGAAACTCGTTCATATGTGTCATAGTCTTGACATAGTTTTAATATGTGAAATGTGTTCTTAATCTTAATGAAACATGATCATCGATTGTGTAATAAAATTTTGTTGCTACGTAATTATTATTAATTAAAAATTGTTAACAATTTAACTACTGATGAATATTAATTAATTGTTTAACTTTTATAATATGAATTTCTGTTTTTATAATGGGGGTAGCAATAGCACCAAGCACCTAATCATAAATTTCTAGATTTAATTTAACATTATAATTGATCTATTTTCCATGAAATTTGATATCTATTGGGTTGTTCGGAAAGTAACTTCGTTTTTATATACATTTTGGCACGTAATTTTCGTACAATAAACAAATACATATTTTAATAAATTATGCATTGGCTATTTTGATCGACCATCTTTTGTCATATTTCTGGTATTAGCATAATTTCGAGATCATAAATTTTTTGGTCGTAATTGGCAAAAAACTGATCAAAGTGCTTTTTGCCCTCCTTATTCGAGGTTTTACCGTCTAAAATTTTTTTTAGTGACCGAAATAGATAGTGGTCTGATGATGGCAGGTCTGGAGAATGTCAAGAATGTGGCATTATGCCATAATCAAGCTGTAAAAGCTTTTGGCGATGTCCTGATGCAATTGAGGGTTAATTTTGACCTTTTCTATTGAAGTACACAATTTCGTTTATACACCTGATGACATAAGGCATCCACATTAACTGTTACGTTATCTTGTAAAAGCTGAAAAACGAACTTCTTTGAAATCTCACTGAACATACTGCATCACCATTTTTTTCTCGAATGTCAGCTGTGCAACTGTTTTGAACATGTTCTTCTTTTTTGTTTCATAGGCAATTGCATATATTGTATTCTTTACATCCAATTTGACATTTCTAGTGACAATTCGCTTCAAAACCTGAACATTTTTAGGACTTTTTAGAGGCGAATAGCGGACACCAGTGCGACGACACAGGTTTCTTCTTTCTATGAGAACCATACATTGAGCTTCGAGTAAAATCCTAGACCTTTTAAGTTTTGTACTATTAATACTTCATTTACATAAACATTGATCAATTTAATTTTGATTTAAATAGTATTTTTATCTTTTCTATAGCAAAAGAGTAAAATATGTCGAAAATGCTGCTTAATTCTTTTCGTTTTCAAAGTGTCACCATCCAAAAACTACAGCCTGTAATTGATTAGAATTTTTAAAAAACATAGTACAAATTACAATTACAAAATATTAGTAACTTGGTGGTAAAAAAAACGAAGTGACTTTCCGAACAACCTTATATTTTATATAAAAACGTGAAGTAAATAATTCAACTCAAAGTAATTTCTGGTTCGTGGAAGTCAAACCGTACTTCTTTTTGGATGACAAGAGTGTATATTGGAATTTTCTAAATTAAATTTGCTGAAGCTTTTATCCAAGGCCACAATGAAAACTTCACATTGACAATTAAGATATGTTTCATATTTACAATATGAAATAATTAAACTCAGTTATTTTTGGATGACAAGAGTTTACATTGGAATTTTCTAAATTAAATTTGCTGAAATTTTCATCCAAGGACACAATAATATTGACTTCATATTGACAGTTAAAAAATGTTATTTAGAGTATGAAATAATAAGTACTAAACAATTTTATTTGTGCAGAAACGAAGCAGAACCAAGGTTGCAAACAGCAAACGCAGGACAACTCACAGCCCACCATACTATGGCAGTGTAATCTGTAAATTCATAATCTGAATAAATCAGATATTATTATGCACCAATCTATAGATGCATTAAAAGAACGTATTTAAAACCTAAACGTTCAAGCTTAAAATGGCTTAATAATTTTTGTCATTTTTATTAAGTAAATTTTTTGAACTATGACCCGTGTCCATAGTGGTGATGCATGATGGATCAGCAGGAACTTCGAAAATTACAATTTTAATTTTAGAGTTTTTTGAGAATGATTTTTTACAAATGAGTATCTAATTGCATCACCACTAGAATATGGGACATATTCAAAATAGGTGTATTAAGTTACATATAACCACGAATATTATCATTAATTGAATATTAACTTATGATATACACAGCCAGATAATTTATACAGAAGGTTTTCTTCGTTTTTGGATACTGCCAAAATAATATATCTCAAGACTTATTATTGAACCAAGTTAGTATTTATATTAGTGAACCAACTTTTGTACCAATATTGAAATTTTACTTCGTTCAGCATCACTTGGAAACCTTCGAAGTATATTTGTGATAAGTTACCAAATCACTTCGAGAGAAAAATTTGATATAGGATTAGTCAGCGATTGGATGTCTCAATATTTTAATTCGTCGGATTTTTTAATTGATATAAGATAATGTAATTTATTTTTTATTTTAAATATTAATATTTGTTAAACATAATAATATTAATATTACATATTTTGGATATGTATTTTACCTTATAATGATTGCGGTTTTTTTATTTTATAAGCTTTTTGCTTCTTTAACAGATCATTTATTACGTATATTAATGATTACTGTTTTTTTATCGAATCTTCAAATAATTTTTGGAAGACTTTGTTGTATAACATATAGATATCGCTTATATTAGTAAATGTCAAACTTAACGTAATAGATATGATATTCTACAAAGTATGTTAAAAGTTTTGCAAATTTTTTTCAAAGGTATTTTTGCATTTGTTCTTTTTGAATTCGACTTGTAGATGGTTGTGTATGTTTTTTATATGAGGTTGTGCGTTTACAACATGGGTTTGCGTTTTAAAAATAAACGTAACTTTAGGGTACGTTTTATTTGGCTCGCACATCTAGAAATTTGGATAACTGAAGAAGTGATTAGTATAAATATTCGGAAAATATAGGAAAAAATAATTTTAGTTGATCGTCGTGTCTATATTTTGCAACGCACAGAAAAGTGAACAGTCTTCGAAGATGCGGTTGATTTAACTATTTTTATTAGTATGACATATATTCTGTGGATGATTTGAATCTAATTTTAATAAATATTATTAATATTTATTAGAGTTCTTTATCTTCAAGAATTGTTGAAGTGATAGGGATTTCCATTCTTGTATTTTCCACCTACCAATATCTAAAAGATTCTATCCAAGATTATAGATAATGATTTTGTTTTATGCCAAGGTGACTTTAGAAAATTTTGGAAAGTTGTACGTCTTTGAGTATATATCTTCAAATAATTTAGGTAAGGTTTTGTTTATCCTGATTATTTTTTTGTGACCAAATCTTCTAGATGTGCCACGAAAAGTCTTATGCTGCGGATGGGCGTTTCGTTTTTTTGTATATTAATAATCTTTGTGAGAAAAATGTGATATGCTTTTAGTGTTTACATCTAATAATTTTTGCGTAGTTGTTTTTATTTTTGTGATCGGCTTTTAATTGATAGGTATTAATGTTCTCTAATCATAGTAACTCCAAAAAAAATACAAGAATTATTGATGATATAATGATATACCCTTTTATTAAAAACATACTTGCGCTTTTATCAAAATAACTAACCCCTAAAACTAGTTCAGAGATCACTGATATTATAAAAGTGGTTTCATTGTGCTGTTCGATATTACTACTCATTATCTTAAAATAGACTTTTATCCAATGTTTAAAAATATTAAAGTATCGACTAAATGTTTAAAGCTCAATTAGCTTGTTAATATTAGGTTCTTTTAGTGTAAACATATATAAGTCGAAATATATGTATCTACATACACGACTCACGTGTCTATAAATACATATATCACGCATATTTATGTATATGTAAATGTAGGTTATATAAAATAGAATTAAGAATTTATATAATGGAAGCTTTTTCAAATATTTTTAATATCTTCTATTGGATTTTGCTGCTTTTGCTATATTCTTACGAGTAGTTGTCCTACCTTTGTTTGATGATGAGTTCTATTTTAAGCCCTTGTTATTTGTATTATTGGTAATGAGAAAAGTGCAGTTTGATTGTTTCCTTTTGTTTACTGAATTATCATTAAATTTTGGTAATACAATAGCGTAAACCTATAGATAATATGTAACAGTCAAGCGATTGTGCTTGCTAGTCTAAATCATTACAACATTATGATGTGTATTATGCATTATAAAAATATATACTCTATAATAAATAATTACGAAGTTTTATTATTATTAGCGAAGGAAATCTTCCTGCCCGTAGGGTAATTTATAGTAATGGGCCGAAAATCGAAACTGAAAATTTTTGCATATCTTTACGTTTCAGGGGTTTTTGAACATTTTGGCATACCTCAGCAAAAATTGATGTGCATTTGTGTATGTATGTATGGATACAATTTTTTGTCCACGTTTTCAGGCGCACAGATCAACCGATTTGTATAATTTGTAATTTATATTTGTAAGACAGGTCCAGCCGTTTCGGAGATACGGAGCAAAGAGTGCAGAAAATAGAAATCGAGTTTTTGAGAAAACGGAGCATCCGATTTGAATGATCCAAAAAAACATTCAATTCGTAATGATGGGGAGAAGTGGTGATGATTGATTAACTTTTTTTATTTATTTTTTTGTAAATATATATAAGTTACAGTTTTTATAATAATCTATTTGAAAACATGTAATATGTCTCGAATATTTCATTATGGTACGGGAAGTTCCACTAATTTGCCTTAAGACACGATGCCATACACCACTGGTTATTATTCAAAAGGAATAAATTAATCAATAAATTTCCGAATACAGCAATAAATATAAGCTTTACTATAAATATTCTATGTTTTATGATGAGCAAGGGCATGGAGAAGGCATCAATATTTCTGAACTAAAAAAGTTTCTTGAAATGAAATGGATCATACTAAAACTTTGCAGCTTATCATGTTTAAAATTCGAATACATTAAAACATTCGATAAATCTCTCTGCAATCCAATTTATGTTCTTATAATACCAAATAGATTGCTGCCAACATTTTTAATTATGTTTCTTAACTTGTAATTTAGGCGATGGTACATAAGACAAAAGCTGGATTTTTGCTCAGAATTTGGATTTTAAACAATTCTCAATCGAATATCAAATTTGAGGAGCTACAAGATCGACCAGGTTTGTATTAGAATCACTATATTTATATATTACATCCCTAGATTTTAATTAAGATACTCCTTAGAGGCAGATCAAAATTAAAACCTTTTATGAAGTTACTAGTTAGTTACTTTTTTCATAATGGTTCATTTTACATTTATAGACAAACTTAGATTAATATTTAATTTACTTATCTATTTATTAACAACTCGAAGAAAAATCTTAATCTACCAGAAAATCCGATTGGATAATATTTTGTTTTTCCAGGTTTGAAGTCATTCTGAATCGTTCGACTTTAAAATTGATAAAGATATATAAGACTAGTGTATAAGAGTGAGTCGAAAATATTCTTCGATGTTTTCCACAAAAAACGACTGTTGCGATTTAAAAAATTCAAAATTCATTCGATGAAACTCGATGACTCACTTTACTTAGTATAAGAAAAAATCGGCAAAGCCGTTTCTTTAAACTTAACCATAAAGTACAAATTGTGCTGATTAGTTTATTGGTTATTTTTGTCATTATTAAGTAATAGTTAACTTTTATGGCAATTTTGATGAAACTTTGTACGATGATATGGTAGGTTTAGTTCAAACTTTATTAACTAAGTCGATTATTTATTGATATCGAAATATTTTTGTAACTTGTACTAAGGAAAAATGCCACTTACACTTAGCTTCCATATAAATTATAATCTATTTCACGAATGCAGAAATTATATTCTATTTGACGAATGCAATTTGTCAGATGTTTTGTTGAGTCTGATGATGACCATATTATTATATACTCATAATAAACCTTTATAATTATATATTTATATGTTTCTAATTTGTATTTTGACTTAACTTTTTTCGTAGCAATTCCTGGAGAAGTGAGATAACATTATGATCTATGATCTTAATTTTCTGAAATAAAAAACTTTTTTTTCCTTCAGAAAAATTTATATATATATATATATATATATATATATATATAAATTTTCTTTTTTTTCATGCTACTTTTCAAGCAATTTTTTGCCTCTGTCCGATACCTTAGAACACATATAACAAAATAAATGATTTTTTTTTTTAATAAAGAGGCTTCTAGTTCTGAGAATTATATTATAACATAATAGCTATTCAGAAAAACTTGAACTATATGTTGATCTATATTTAAAGTAAAAACGGAAGTTAGGGTTGCAAGGCCGAAGCTTCACCAGATTATACAAACAAAAACTTCTAGCAGGAATATTGATAGGTTTGGTCAATGTATGGACACAGTTACCGAACCATCCCGTACGACTGCATACGACTGCATACGACTGCATACGACTGCATACGACTGCATACGACTGTATACGACTGCATACGACCCCATGCAAGTCGTGACAAGAACGAACTTGTTACATAATCAATTGTTACCTATATAAGAGGCGGCATTGATATGCTGATATCATTATTATACATCAAATTGACCAGTACACTTACCAGTCGGGATTTTTATTTAGTATATTATATACATATTGCACAATTAAAGAAATAAAGATTCATTTTTATAACCGAGTACATAATTACATTGTGACTTACTTCTTGGAATTTTCCTGTTTGAGACATTTGAAGTCCACAAATATTATATGGATTTACATTATTTTCTATACAAAGCCGCATCAAAAATCTCCGTGCGATGTGTTGAATAACAATTGCCAGACATGGTCTCCATTTAACCAACCGAGATTTAGCTCGAATCTGGAACAACACGTTATACATATTTATATTATATTCGGTCTTAGATATACTAGTGGTATTATGGTAAGACATATTGTCTCTAAAATTTTGGTATAATATGCACCGTAATTAACTTCCCGAAGGGGAAGTTTATGCTTTCGACAGAAAATCCTATTCGCTAATTTTATGTTTTTTGAGTCATTCTGAACAATTTGAGATCAAAATGGCAAAAGTGTATGTATATGCCTATATGAGACAAAATTTGAACCTGTGGATAAACTAGATAAGAACTTGAGTTGATTTTCAAAAATCCTTAATCAAATTTGATAATTGAAAAATGTTCGAAAAATATCAATTGGCAATTGTACTTATCAGTATTTTGTAAAGAGCGGCTGGGTATTTTCTTCATAATACACTATTAAAAATATTGTTGTTGGCCAGTAGTTACAATAATTATAAT